GCTCCAAGTTCAGAGGTGAAGGTGAAGCAAGAGACCCAAAACGAGATAATAATGGAGAACACAAAGCAGCTGTCTGCATGGAGTCTTTGTCTACCCGCCTGTCGCATCAGTGAGTCCGTGCAGCAGCTGATGGAGCTAACACTCAACACCCTGTGTGAGGCCGTTGGAAGCTCCACACAATGGTATGTTAGATTGATCAAAGACCTCACTGTCTATTGTCCTGACCTACGTATAAGTTTAATGTGCCTGGCAGCGCAATGTAATAGTTCAACAGAAAAACCAAGACTTCCCTGACCGTAATGATTTAGCAGGATTTATGATTATTTAATTTAATACAAAGAGTATTTGGTTCACAGCACTGTTGAGCTATCATTAAAAACACTGTGAAGCTAGTTAAGTCAATATAGTTGCAGTCTGCTGTCAGGAGTAGGGTAATGACCTACATATTAACAGCAATAGATAAAAAACAATTACAGTCAATTAAACAGCCTATTGTCAGAGAAATGCCATCATCATACACAATAGATAGATAAAAAAAAATCTGTCATACTCATGCCCACAAGGCTTCATTGCCAAATAAGAGTTGTTCAAAGTAACACATTTTGTCTGTTCTTTTCAGTGCATTGCAGCTCTTCTTCACTGTGAGAAACATTTTCCAGCTGTTCTATGATGTTGTACCAACATATCACAAGTAAGAATGTTTCCATCACATGACATAACAGACCAAACAAGCACATTTCACCTGAAGGTGTAAAAGGTTTTCTCTTGTTTCTCTGCTACTCCATTCAGGGAGAACCTGCTCAAGTTCCCCCACCTAGCTGCCATTCAGCACAACAACTGCATGTACCTGGCCCACCACCTGCTCACCCTAGGACACCATTTCAGAGCCCACTTGCCACAGCCCCTCAGTGAGGGCGTTGCAACATTTGTTGACATGGTGCCCGGATTCAGGAAACTGGGTAAACAAACATTTCTACTACTGTCAGCCACATTGCTATGAAATTTGGTACTGAATTTTGTGGTCGCCAGAATCTGATTCCTAATTATTTTGGTGAGCAACACTTTTGTCTAGGACAGGGTTTCTCCAAAACTGCTTGCTTGGTTTCATTAAAAATTTTTGTAGACATTCATGTTCTGCACATTTTCCTTTAGGTGCCCAGTGCTTCTTAGCACAGATGAATGTTCAGAGAGCTGAACTGTTGGAGAGACTTTCCACCGCTCACAACTTCTGCAACCTGGATGATGAAGATAATTACATTGCAGCTAGCAAAGCAGTAAGACAGGTGAGAGGAAATGAGTTATAATAATATTGTAATTATGAGTGTGTGTCAGAAAAACTGTGATTCAATTAAAGATGTTTGTGTTGTAATGGATTACACTCCATTACATATCTCACCAAGACTTTATTATTCATTCATGCACTGCAGGTCATTCATCAGTTGAAACAGTTGGGTACAGTATGGCAGGACGTCCTACCAGTCAGCATCTATTGTAAAGCCATGGGCAACCTCCTCAACACTGCCATCTCAGAAGTCATTGCTAAAATCATGATGCTGGAGGTTTGTCTTTTTTCCATTACATTATCTCTATGTAAATGTTGGACTTGTCTTATACCAATGCAGAGGTTTTACTGCGATAAAACGAACATAACAAAAAATATAAAAACTGGGAATCCTTAAAAAGTATTTTACAAATGTTGCAAATGTATACCATTTTAGATATAAATGAGGAGTCATCCAATATTCCAATAGTTAAATGTCATCCAAGCCCTCAAATGAACAATGTGATCATGGGCAAAAACTCTGAAACAATTGTGAGGCCCAACTGGCTGAAGAGATGTCTCTGTAAATTCTAACAAAAAAAACTGGACTTGACTGTCCACAGGATATTTCCTCTGAGGATGGGGAGCACTTACACACTCTGTGTCAAACCATCATCGAGGAAGGGCCGCTGGTCTTCATCCCTCTGGCTGAGGAAAACAAGAACAAGAAATATCAGGAGGAAGTGCCTCTCTATGTGAAGAAGTGGAGTACCTTCAAGGAGCTGGTCATCGTGCTGCGGGCCAACCTGCAGGAGATTGTCGATAGGTAAGAGAAAACTTGACGATAGATAAAACTATAAACTAAATAAAACATAGTTTCGGGTATTTTAAGGTGTTACAGTCTTAAAAGATTTTCACGATTTGTAACACAGGCTTTTATAAATTTGTTGTCTCCAAGCCAAAGCTAAGTTACTAGGTCATTTTCTCAGACTTTACAAAGCTCGACCAGAGCCACAGAAGACTTTACATTAGCGTTTTCACATGCTCAGTAGTTCTCCTCATGACAAGTAAACTGACCCTTTTGTGTAAAATTGATGGAGTGCTCCTTTATCATTGACAGAAGGGCCTCTGGTTAAAGTCATACTGTTTTTTTCATGGATGTGTCGGACCGGCTGATTTGCCCATGATTCCTCTCCACAGGTGGGCTGATGGTAAAGGTCCGCTGGCGTTGGAGTTCTCCAGTTCGGAGGTGAAGAATCTGATCCGAGCCTTGTTCCAGAACACAGAGAGGAGAGCTGTGGCTCTGACCAAAATCAAATAGATACTTGGACCACCGAGAAGATACACAGCACTTTTTCCTCTCTGGAAAATATGATTCATGTCTTTATTCGTTTCCATTTTCTGTCATGTCTATTAAATATATACACTTACATGTATGTAGATTGAACAGTTTGTCGCAGAGGAATGTTTGTCCTTTCTGGGGGTATAAGCTGGTTGTAATCAATCTGTGGGATGTGTTCCTTCTCAGCATTCAGACTGCAATTAGTCCTACAGAGATTACACGAAGGCTTCTTAACATCAGCATCCTGCAGACTCAGTCATATAGCTTTGGGGGTTTACTATGACAAAGCCAACTGAGGTTGTGTAACCAGTGGCTCGCCATCTGTTGACACGTGATGTTGTATCCACGGTTAACTTTGCTGTAACTTGGTTGAACTTCATCCGTGGCTTGTTTCAGACGTCTCCACTTGTCTGTACTGCTGTCATTTCAGAAGAGAGTTTGTCGAGTGATGTTTGTTCAAACCTTAATGCCTCTAAATGAACATTTAGTTCTAACAAAGACACCCTGGACCTTGCATCTCTGGTTAAAATTTTTCTTGTACAAGCCATTAAACTGAACTCTTAACATACTGTATTTATTTGCGCAAATAAACCAAAACACTTTTCTTAACTGTTTGTTTTTTAATGAATATCATGATGATCTTGGTGCCACTACATAAAAAAAAATTGCAACTGCTTATGTTGTCAGCCAGGAAATTGCCTGGGGCTGGGGGTGTCCTTGTTCTAGTGTCATGCTTTATGTAGCATACATGAAAGTGATTCTTCTCACCTAACACTTGATGTTTAAATTTAACTAATAATCTGACCTGATATAATAGTGGTCCACTGACAGAGCTGCCGCAGCCACGTGGTGTGATGGGTTGAACATTGTCAGTATGTGCACTGTGAATGACGCGGAGGGAGGAGACAAACAGCTGGACAGGCGCACAGTAGCTCTTCGCTCACTCTGTGTCTCTTTCTTCATTTGATCTAACCTGACTTCAACATTCTGGCAGCAGCTGTATTTATCTTAAGGTATGCTTTGCAGAGGTATGTGATTATTTTCCCCTTTTTGTGATGACCTTTTCAGTGGATCTATTGTAATCTGGTAGCAATCAGAAAAAACTTACTCGACATTTTGTATTTGTAAAATTAACAGAAGGATTTTTGAATAACAATTTTAGGTTTGTAATTAACCATTATCTTCATTATCAGTCAATGCCAATTATTTTTTCAATTAATTGATACATTTTTTCGTGTATAAAATCACAATTTCCTAGGGTGACACAATCAAATGTCTTTATTATGTCTGACTAAGTAAAAAATATTAAGTTTACTATAATATATAACAGGGAAAGCAACAAATTGTCACAATGGAGAAGCAGAAACCAGAGAACAGAACGATTATATGATTATAAAAATTGTTTGTGATTAACTTTCCCTTGATCAACTAATCGATGAATTGACCACTTGCTTCAGCTCACACTTTAATTTGCATGATGTTTCCTGTAAAGAACTAATTTGGTACTAATTAAACAGTGTTTTTGTCAATTGGGACACTTAAACTAAAAATAGTACAGCATCACTCAGATTCAGAAAAGAAAATGATGTAACTGACTCAAATTCCCTCTCTACCTTTTAATGACTTGTGATAGGACCAATTGTTTTTTGTTTTGTTTTTTGAAGACAGATTCCCTCAAAGTAAAATTTGATAAGCGTGATTGGCTCCTCACAGATGGGTTATGGTCAGGATTCAGAGACGTGTTCATATTTTGTGTTTGTTGTGATACAGTAAACACAGCTTTTTTGCAAGAGAGAAGTGAATTTACAACAGTTCATTTGGCCCCATCTGGACAATACTACTTCTAAGCCCTCTGGCAAATACAGTCAGTAATCTTTTGAAATCCATCATGTTCCTTGGTGTTTCTCAGATTAATTTTGAGGATTAGTGATAATCCCTTCATGTGTAATAAATTGCAGCAGTGCTGAGACACTGATGAGCCCACTTCAGACAAATGAAACCTCATGCTGATGAGGAAGTAAAGCAACATTTGCTTTTGGCACACCATCAGACACCATCACATCTTGGGCTGATCTACAGACGTATATGAGGGATCTTAATGATTCTCTTCTTGGAAGAGCAGCAGAATATAAACAGGGGTTGTCAGCAAAATGAAAATGGAAAATTTAAAGAAAGAAATTTTTAATATTGCATTGAATTACATTTTCAAAGCCTCTAAAGTGCTTTTATCAATGGCACACAGATTTTTTCATTTCTGCAAACACTTATTGAAGTATTGAAGTACTGCAATTAGTTGTTTAGGTCATGTAACTGTAGCTGCTTTCGATCTCAATTTAATGTTGTTGCCCAAACAGAAACAAAGCTGGAAGAGTAATCAGCGCCTTGAAGACCTCAGCAATGAGCACCACTGTGATATGCAGCAGAGAGACGCTACAAAACGTTCAGTACAACAGCCACATCAGGAGCCCCGTCAAGATCGAGCCTCGCAGGAACTCCATTCCCCCAACGCAGACTCTCACTGCTAAACATCTGCTGGCATACCTGCCCAGACCACAGCCAGAGTCAATACGTTACACTCCTTACACTTTTAAGGTACCACTTTCTATATTAATCTCTGTAAACCACCACTAATACTGTACAGTTGTCCAGCCTGTATTGTGCCAAAATTTGCATCCCATTTCAAATGCAACTCCCCTGGTACTGAGTCATGCTTAATTTCACAACAGAGAGGAAAAAAGATTTGTTGTTTTTTCTAACGGCTAGCTTTATAATTTGTAAATCAACTCTTAAAAAATGTATCATATAGTTGCCATAAGTGAAAGTACACCACTGTAAATTTCCTACTTATTTGTTGCCTGTATTAAAAGGTATATTGCCTGCAAATCCTATGAAAAAGACCAACACCAACAATGTGTTAGTCCAAGTTCTCTACTCTGTCTGTGGGTTTCAGCCCCAAGTACAAAACAGAACAAAACAGATAGGCACTGTAGTTTTTAGCAAATGTTACTCAAATGGGAGGAAATTGTGTATTTTCTGAGGACTATTTTCACCTGCGGATTAATACACAGTTGGACCAGTAATGACTGAGTCAAAATGGTCATGTTGATGGTAATGACAGAACCTCTCATCCAGTGCAATGGTGTTGTGTTCTGTAAAGTGTATGGTTATTTATGGTTTCATATATTTTGTGAAGAGTATGCATTGTTGTCTTTCATTTCAGGCTGCAGCTAAATCCACTGTTGCTTCCATGATGATTCCAAAAAGAGCCTCTCTTATCCACAACTTGAACTATGCTAACTGCTCATCACTCCTACCATCCCAGGAGGCCTCTCCCTCCCAGACCCAGAGTCTCTGGAGTCAGTCCTCTCAGGCTCTGACTTTGGCTAGGCAAGATTCCCCCCAACAGCACACTATCCAAGCAGCTCCTCTGGAACCAGTAGAAGAGACCCCAAAGGCTCAGCGTTTGCATTGCAGAAGACACCTCAAGCGCTTTAGCTCCAGATGGCAATCGAGGGGTTCCACTGGCAGCGTCAATGTTCCAGTGTCTGCAATAGAGAGGCAACATGGTGCAAAGAGCCACAAGAAGCGTTGTAAGCTGCTGGGTGATGAGCACTCATTGCACGTCATTGCCAGCAATCAGCGGCAGCGTTACGTCACCAAGGACGGCAAGTGCAGGGTCAATCTGGGACCTATTGAAGACAAGAGTCGCTTTATCTCAGATATTTTCACCACATTAGTGGACCTCAAGTATCGCTGGTTCCTTCTTGTCTTCACTATGTGCTACATTCTCACATGGGTGACCTTTGGTGGAATCTACTTTTTAGGTGCCTGGTTGCGTGGCGACATTGCACATCTTAATGATATACAATGGCAGGCGTGCTACCAAAATGTAGACAGTTTCCTATCAGCTCTGCTGCTGTCATTGGAGAGCCAGAGGACGATTGGGTATGGCTCTAGGATGGTGACAGCTAACTGCCCTGAGGGTACGGTGGTCCTGATGGTCCAGTCCATCCTTGGCTCCATTATCGACGCACTCATGGTGGGCTGCATGTTTGTTAAAATCTCCCGGCCACAGCAGAGGGCCCAGACGTTGATCTTCAGCAAGCACTGTGTCATATGTGAGCGTGATGAGAAGTTGTGCATGCTCTTCCGCATCGGGGATCTGAGAGAGAGCCACATGGTGGACGCCAAGATCCGAGCTAAACTGATCAAGTCCAGGCAGACCAAGGAGGGGGAGTTCATCCCACTGGAGCAGTCAGAGATCAATCTGGGCTATGACACCGGGGGAGACAGGCTGCTCCTGGTGGAACCCCAGACCATTACCCATGTCATCAATGAAAGCAGCCCCTTCTGGGAGGTTGGGGCTGAGCGCCTGAAGAGGGAAACCTTTGAGATCATTGTCATCCTGGAGGGCATCGTGGAAGCGTCAGGTTTGTAGAACTACTAGATCAACTAAGATCATGTCCATAGTGAAGCAGTTGCATTTAAAAACATTATGATTTTCTACCTTGAAAGAAGATTTGTCAAAGAGGTGTGGTTGGATGGAAAGACCATCTGTTTTATCTACTCTGACTCTCTCTGATCACTTATTTTGTTTTTTAGCTTCCCTGAAGACACAACAAATCTGCTGTCTTTGTTTCTGTATAATTTTAAAATTGTGATTTGATTGTGGGTCTTCATGCTTACTTGGATCTCATGCAAAAAAGGAGAATGCCTTCGGTGTAGTGAGATTTGAGCCTCTGTCTTCTGCAATGCCTGATTTGTACTCTGTATTCTGAGCAATCACTTGGAAATTTAATGGCAGCCGAAGGAGTCTTAACACTGCTGCTAAGCTGAAAACAACTGAGGGGCTTTTACACAGTGGGTGGTTGTGGCCTCCAGTGTTTTCAGTGTAAACATTTTAATAGTGTAGACCAATGTAAGCAGGACATAATTATATTGGTATGTAACATCATAAACAAAACAAAATTGGTCTTAGAGCATCTAAACTTAATTATACCATCACTATTTTGTTTATTTTAGATAACAACTTGGGTATGTGATGAGATTGTATTTTGTGGATAGCAGCAGCCTCTAGCATATGGTACAAGTTGTGTGCAGGATCTGTTATAGCCAGTAGCCGTGGTGGCAGCAGAGTTGCACCCTGCTGTTACTGTTAAGATACAGCACACCAATAGCTCTGAGCAACAGACTTGGAAAGAAAGTATCTTAAATCAGTGTTTTAATTAACTCTGCTAAACAAAACCACTGTTTTATTGAGAAATCAAATGTATTTTCAAAACAGTTGACATAAAATGCTACATAGCAGTATATACAGTATTCTGTATTCTGTTCTGAATTTATTTGTCAGCTCTTCATCCAAGAAAGTGACATTTACCAGATTCCCCGATGACTTGTGTTGCAGGTATGACATGCCAGGCAAGGACTTCCTACACAGAGGATGAGATCCTGTGGGGTCACCGATTTGAGTCATGCATTTCCTTGGAGAAAGGGGCATTTCGTGTGGACTACAGTGCATTTGACAAAACCTTTGAGATACAAATGTCCTTACTGAGCGCAAAAGACAGGAGCTCAGCAAATGAACAAGACGCTTTGTTTTAGAAAATGTTGGCTAAACAAACAGTTGTTGTGTCTGCACATTAATATTGCATATAATATTGCATTCAGTGATATTCCCTGATAAACCATAACATTCATCCTTCATTAATATAAATTTCAGGGTAGGCATACTTTCTGTTTTTCATTTGTCTGTGTATAAAGTTTGCTCGATGTTTTTATATATTCCATTAAATGTATGTTACATTATGAGATGTTTTATGTTGTGTTTAAATCATTTTTTAAAAATAAAAATAAACATCCTGCTAAACCCAATTGTCTGTGGTCTTTTCTGAGCAGTTGAAAAAGTACTGTGGTAAAATAAAATTTACTCCAAGGTCCACTTATTAACTTATTGAGAACCTTTCAACTCTAGACAGTTTGTTCAGTGAGTGGTTACTGGCTAGGTTGTCACCATGTAACATGGTCCTGTCAGGTACCATCAAAAAAATGTGCATAAAGTATCAACATTTGAAGTGCTCATTATACAGCAGAATGACCCCTGTCAGTGTCTTATCATTACATAACTTTATGGTCTGTTGGAATGTCTTAAGTTTATTTATCACATTTTATCAGATGATTTCATCATATATATTGTATAGAAAACCGTAATCTGCAAAGTAACTAACTAAAGCTTTCAGATAAATGTGTTTGTGAAACTCTTTCAGGTCCAAACTGGCAAAAAAAAGTCCAAGAAAATGACTACAAAAATTTGAGCATTACAAGTTTGTGTTCTTCTTTCCAACCCTCAACAATCATTTCACAACCCCTCAGATCAGATTTATCTTGTGACCCTCTGCACGGGCCAGACATCCAAGTTGGAAGCCATTGGACTGAACTATCTAACTGTAATAAAGTCGAGCTGCTCAAGCAGCTACCACAGTAAAATGCTTATTTGATGCATATAAGTGTTAACAATCTAATATGCCATATAAAATAATGTATCACTGACAGGGTACTTATTTGTTCATATTGAGAACTTTTACTTTTTACATTTTGCTTATGTTTTGCTGAGAACACTTTTGTTCTTTGTCTTTGATGGCATTTTGAATGGACTTTTACCCGTAATCAAGTTGGTGTACAGGTACTTTTACTTAAGCTAAGGATCTGAGTACTCCTCCACTGGTTACACTGTAAACCTGGATTTGTTTATGAAACTTAGTGGAAACAACTTTTGATTAACAATTCTTCGTTGTAACACAAACTCCAACCCGGAAGGTGGCGCGCTGATTCAGCAACGCTCTTAAATCCAAAGAAGAAGAAGTAGTTTCAGAAGAGCAGCATGATGGGATATGAGAGTCCTCCGGCGGCGCGTTGCCGCCATGTCACCTAGAGAGAAACATTTAGCGCTTCTCTCTGTTTTATGCGTAGTTAGTCTTGCCCTTTATTATATTCCTACTTTTCTTTACGCGACTTTAATTATTGGAGTTTGTTGCATTGTGTGTTACTATCACAGCGGAGAACCGCTTCCCGCCAGGTTAGGCCTGAATCCGCGAGCTGGACTAAACGTCCCAGCCTTGCTCAGGCGTTGGTTGTTGGGTTGGGGGGTGACCGGCGTGTCGGTGGCTGCCCGAGGGAAAACGAAGAGTAGCAGCAACAGAACCGAGCTCCGGGGACCAGAGGGACACTTCAGACCAACGCTCACGGAAACTGGGATTTATCGGAGGGAAGCTTTGGCAAGTGACTCGTTTCTTTTCAGCCCCCGGGATTTCCTCATGGGGAGTTACATCGGGAAACCCGAAAGTCCAACCGCTGACTCCGGGAGGCCGAGGGCAGGGAGAAATCCCCGAGAGCAGCTGCGGGAAAAGCTGTCTAGACCCAACCATGCTGTCTATACCCCAAACAGGAGGTTGTCATTTGCTGGGTATGTTTATAATCAAATAACGCTATAACAACATGAGCCACCGTTAGGAGGCAGTACCGTTAGAGTCCGTGCCATCCAGAAGTCAAAGGTCCAGCTTCTTGGCGGGTTTTAATTATTTACTCGTAAATCTTATGCAGTATTTTATCAGCACATTTAAAAATGCAAATCGTACTTATTAGCTGCACATTGGTGAAATTCTCTGTAATACCCCCCTCTTTACTTGCTCTTTGATTTACTGTAACGTATGGGGAGATGCATTTGTAAAAATAGTATTTAAATTGTGACCTATCATAATGAATAGAAACTTCGCTTCCAGTTTATTGATCATTTTAATATAATGCTTTATTAATTCCAATAGGAAATTGCAGTGTTGCAACAGCCACTTAACGTAAGTCAAAAAATCAATGAGGTAGGTAAATACAAACAATGCAATTAAAGGCTAAATTGTGTATAATGACTAAGTAGATTAAATCAAGTAAAATACAAATTATTGAAAAAAAAAAATAGAGACCAAAGATAGACCTGTAGCTTTACTGTGTGCTGAATATACAGTAAACACTGGTGGATATATTATATACTTTAATACACTGCATCAGTTCAAGTAGAGTGGATATATATGTATATAGAGCTGCACAAATCTTAAAAGATGTGATATACAAATGGGCAGTCTATTCTGTTACAAGGTAGCATCATTCTGTCAGATGAGTCCACTCTCTAGACAAACAATATTCACAAAATACAACTTATCAGACTGTAACAGAGGTAGAATGATAAAACCATGGACTTATTTCCTTGTTGGTCCTGGTGTTCATATAGTTCCAACCTTTACCATGATAGGCAGTTATTCAGTGATATTAACAAACCTTAGAAATTACAAACTAAAATCTAGGAAATTTAATCACACAATCAGCTTTTTCAGGAGGCAGACATTGTAATAAAGTATCATAGAGTCCCAAAAAAGAAATCCATCATCACTAATATTTACAAGTAAGTGGTCAGTGATATATATTTTCTGTTACCCAGAGAGGCTACTGTTAGTGGACAAAGGTGGCATGGAGTCACACAGTTGCACGACTCACAATTTCAACATATTGCAAGAATATTTCATAAAATGTACTGCGTCATATAGATACGTTGTTGACCTCAGCCCTCTGTGCGTCACTGTGATATGGTCATATAGCCTTCCCTACTCAAACCTCAGGTTAAAAATCTAAATGTTTGTTTTAACTTTAACTTATCCAGCAGCAGATTGTAGCTTCAAATGAACTTTTCTTTGTCTCAAAGTTGTATTTATGTGTAGGGAAGGCTCTGTGACTGAATCAAGTGATACAGAGAGGGCTGAAGTCACAAATGGGGCTCTGTGTGAAGAAAATGTGTTTTTTTTTAAAAAATGTATACATCTCAGTTGAATATTCATTAGTATATGCAGGTAACATATGTCTACTCTTGTTTTTCCGCCTTGCAGGGAGCCACTGGGCACAGTAGGCAGGTTCACCATCACCCCGCAGCGTCATTACCCGTTGCAGCAGCCAGGTGTCTCGTCAGTGGGAGTCCTACCTCCTGTCAAGTGGGATGGCTTCAGGAAGAAAAATGTCCTCAGCCCCCGTAACTCCCCGGCAGCCCTCAGTCCTGTCACAGTGAAGATTGCCAGGCCCAACCACAACACCCCCAGGTTTCTATATTAATGCAAACTTGTAGTCTGTCATCATGCCAGTGTTCTTATTATTTTGTCCATTATCTCGGAATAAACTGCTGTATACCGTATATATTTCATTACTGTGTGCCATTTTAAAACTGAGGTAATCCGCTTGAGTCAGATAATCTATCTTGCCCACTGAATTTTTGTCAGTGTTGTATTATTGTTATGAGGTAATGCAGTGGAGACTTTTTAAAATCAACCTGCACATGTAACTGTTTTAAGTATACAACTAGAGCTGAAACATAATCTTTGGAGTTATTTGTTAAGCAAAAGTACCAAATATTTTCTGGTTCCACATTCTCAAATGTGAGGATTTGTAAACTGAATATCTTTGGGTTTTGGACTGTTGGTCCTGTGGTTGAAATTGTGGGGGTCATTTTTCACAATTTTCTGCAGCCTTGTTTGTAACAGTAAAATAACTTTGACATAAATAACTTCCTTAAATAACATTTAAGGAAGTCATGATGTTCACTGACATGGATTACTTCCTACCTGAACAGTTTACCTAAACAGTCGGGATGTGAGTTTTAAAAAAAAAAGAGTTTACAGAGAACTTGTAGCGAGTATAACAAATGTTGTAGACATAAAAAAGGGAAATGTTCTTCTATCTACGGAATTAAATTCTTGTCCGTAAAAGTATTTCTTGACACTGTGTCAGCAAAGTTTTGATACAACTTTGATACAACAACTTTTGTGATTGTTGATGCCACAGAGAGTGGCTGTGTCTTACTTAAATCACATTATATTGATATGTTTCTTACATTTTGTCATAAGTAAAACCCTGATTTGTGCCTTTCCCGTTTGAATGTTAACATTGACCAGAGCTGCACTGTCTGCTGTTTTTTTTCGTTTAGTTTGGACCATCTGAGTTGTGCAGGGCTCCCCAGGGCCCCTGCAGACCCCTGCTCCAGAGAAAGTGTCCTCAGGGTGTTGAAGGAAAGCCGCAAGAGAGAAGTGGAAGATGAGGACAGGAGCTTCACAACTGAGCAGAAAAGCAAGCGAAGGTACCAGGCTGAAACAGTGTCTGAAAGGCAACACATGAACACTATATTTGCTTAAAAGAGCTTTGTAAGTTTTGCTATTACAAAAAGCCAATGTTATCATTAACAGCTGTTTATTTACCAGTTTTACTTAGAGCTTCAGCCATTGTTTCATTGTTGCATGCAAGGCAAGAGGTTATATAATATGCTCTCTGAGCAGGGCTACATCTTTAGGACAGACTGGGTGCTACAGTGTCTTGGTACTGGAAAATGATGAGATGGACTGGGGCTAGCTGGTTAGCATGCTAACCTCTAAAAGAAGTGATGGAAATAGAAGCACAACAAGAGATAACATTGGTGTGGCTTTCAACTCTGGACACAGCTCTTTGCGAGTAAAGGAATTAAGTTTGATGCTGAAGTCGAAACGTTTCTTCAAGATTAGAGTAAACACCTGTTACTGCTA